TTGAAGGTCCTACCATCCATCGGTATAAAATCGTTATTTGTTAAATACTGTGCTCCAAATAAGTTCAAATGTTTCCCTCTCTACCGGCAGGTCGGATCTAGAATCCCAACTGGCTGCCGTCAGTGAGCAGAAGAACTACCTCGAAGAGGCTGTGAATGCAACCCAGTAAGTTCATGACTCCTCGTGCTTCATCCTCAAGCATGGTTGTCCGCAGCATCCAACTTTTATCAAGGATTTCTCAGGTTTTCTGTTTCCAAATGCTCTCTTATTAATACACGTAGCTACGCCAAATGGGTCTTGTTCTTTTTGTGTCTCTGTACCTCGATCACTTAACGTCTTTGGTTTTTTACGCAAGGAGTCGTTTAGAACTGTCATTGGAGAAGAGGAAATCACTTGCAGCTACCCTGGAAACGACGCTGGCCAAAAATAATGATCTGGAAGCGGAAAAAGCTGTTCTTACTACCCGGATCAAGGACCTGGAGAAAGAAAACGAACGGCTTATGTCTTTCGTAGTGCGTCAGTCAAAGGTAATTTTAATAACCCCTTTGTAATAACGAAAAAAGGACCGGCCTTGCGTGTTATCAGCCCTGTGCTTATGCTCCACGTGCTCTGCTTATAAGTGTCCCCTTTTCGGTTCTTCCGCTGTTAGCGAAAAGGTGAAAATCGCTTATTGCATAAGCACTCGGTTGCATCATTGAGGTAACCGTGTCACTTAGGAGCGACGTTTACCGATGTTCACTAGTTGCAAGGGGTTATACGAGGGACTTCGACCTGTGGTTGAGTCTTGGGTGACCACTCCTTCCTCCGTCTCCTTTCCGGCAGTCACGTCCACTCCGTACGTCACGTTTCGACTAACGAAAGATTGCTTACTGATATTTATAAGTAGCGTTTGTTTTAAATTTAAAGGACTAGAGAACGCGGTTTGTGCGATTCATAGGGCCTCGTTTCTTCTGGCAGCACAACTAGAGGGAGTAAATGAAATTCTAACTGTCTTTGCTTAGATGTTCCTTCGAGTAAAGCGTTCTATCGAAGTCGGTTTATTAGTTGTATCACTGAGGTTTTTAGAGGAGCTTCGCTAACGGATTTTAATAATGTCTGGGTGTCACCCAGCGTTATTCCCTACATCCATCGTACCGAATTTGGTTTCAACCATGATCGTTTTGCTCTTAAGCGCAGCTTCCGCTGTCCTTCGACTGGACGATACCTCTGTTTAGAATTGTAGTTCCGGTCTGCCGAACAGGCGGAGCAGGTTCAGCAGTGACTTTCCGATGGACGTTTCAGCGATGTACGAACCCAGGTTTCATAGCCGCTACATCGACAGCTCCATTCACTGGACCCGGTAGTTCATTCGTCACCAGCAGTGAAACCAATCACTGTTCCTTTGGCTCGATGTTGACTCCGCGGGGATTTTTTTACGTGGAAACATGCGTCTGGACCAATCCTTTCTTGTACTTGCCGTGCTCCAATAACAAGAATAAGTTAAGGCTACTAGAAATGGGCGTTGTACCTCACATCACAGGTGATCTGCTCTTTGTTGGGAGAATTCCCATTGAGTGGGAGATTTGGTTGTGGCGGTAGCGGGGCGGAGGAGTTTTACGGTATGGTCCAGCCTCTGACAGTTGCCATGCGGCTAATTGCGCAGGCAGGAGACAAATTGGGGACACCGCAAACCGTTGGCCTCTCAAAAATATCGTTTGAGCCTTGTCGCTGTGTTTTCATGATAATAACCTTTCGGGTTGTGAGTCTTTTTATGCGCTTCACGTCCTCAGATTCTGGATGCCATTTAGGATTGCGCATTTCACGAATATATGCTTCGTAGTTTTAACACCAGTTGCATAATCCCTATAGGTGACATCGTCGTGGCGGTCCACTTATTTCCCTCGGGGAGTCGATAGTGGCGGCTGCAATGTTGGCCCCTCTAGTTTATTTTTTTCAGTATCTACCTTTATTGCTTCTCGGTGGTTTCAGCAAGCCCTTCGTCTACGATTGTGTCACATTAAGTTAGTCCGAGCGCATTCTCTAATAGGCTATGACGATGACGTATTAATCATTCGTGCCTTTTTGCGACCGGCGTTTGTCAGGATATCTGCACCTACTTTGTCGCATACGTTGCAGTTGTTTGGGCGTCAAATATCGGTAAGAGCGGTTTTCGTCGTCCGAACTGATGCAGGTTTTTCAGTATTTCTTCAACTGGTTTGTTATTTTTAATCATATTAAGCTATCATATTTATGGGGAGTCTGTCACCTTACCGAGTGCGACCTCCTTTGCCCCACTATTCAGGGGGCATACGTAGATGCAGAGATTTTCAAAACACTAGGGTGTCGGGGACCGGTGTCTATGTCGGAGTCCTGCTTTGGTTGGATCTTCCATATATGTCCACTCATAGCCCTCCCACTAATTTTCTGATACGACATGGACTGTATATCCGTTGCCACTAGGCTCACGTTGGACGACGCCACCGATGATTGGAACTCCGTTTTCCACTCACAGCACAAGGTATTGGGAGACGGATACGAAACGTAGCGGCCACAACCGCCTGTCTTCAGCAGTTTTCTTCTTTTCGCCAACCTATCACATTTGCTTTTTGTGGATGACATAGTTCAGACGAAGGGACTGTTTGACGGCAAATACCTCTTCTTTTCGTCTTCTTACCACAATGTTAGGGAACTGGAACTCCGGAAGAATGATATCCTCACGGATTTCCTCAATGAAACCCGTAGTCGCACGTCAGGCATGCAGTTTGGGGGCCTCTACTCGTTTTATCCTTTTAGATACCCATGACATCCAGGCGCAGTAGCATATCCTACAGCTGGTCTAACCGTGGCCTCATGGATATTACAGAGTTGTGCAATCTCAACCCAGTCAATAGCAGCCACTCTACTGACTGTTAGCGTAACATAAGCTCCATTTCCATAAAATCAGTCAACATTTTAAACCTCGGTTGTCAGTCGCTGCAGACCAAGATGTGTGAATAAGCGTCTTTGGGCCCCGCAGGTTTCAAGAAGTTAGGTGGAGCACGTGGTGTTTTAATGTGCGTACGATACGTCCCGTGAAATGCGGATAACTATGACTGCCTGGATGCACTTGTACGTCCGTGTCTGCTGAAGGGGGCAGCATGTCACCCATTCGTGCGTTCGAGCGTTTAACGGGTAGGAATGTTTTGGTAGTAGTAGTAGCAGCAGCAGCAACAGCAGTATTAGTGACAGTAGTAGTAGTATTAGTAGTAGTAGTAGTAGTAGTAATAGTAGTAGTAGTAGTAGTAGTAGTAGTAGTAGTAGTAGTGGTAGTAGTAGTATTGGTAATAATGGTGGTGGTAGCAGCCGTAGTAGTAGTAGTAGTAGTAGTAGTAGTACTGACAGTAGTAGCAGTGGTAGGAGTAGTAGTAGTAGTGGCGGTGGTTGTGGTTAGTTTTTTGGTTAAATTCGTGCACTTCATATGACCTCAAGAGCGTACGTGCCGTACCTTGCACCTGCTTATTTTAAAAGCCGCCATTACTGCACTGTGTCCGTGTCAGCAACTTCTCGGTGGTAGGCCTTAGTCAAAATTCGGAATTATCATACGCGGGTAGGGGTCTTACTTTAGACAATGGTCCAAGCCACTAGTATGAATTCGTCCATCACCTTGCGGACGGCGGTCGCTAGACAGATAGGACGGCAGTTTATTAGGTCGTTCAGGACCATCCCAGTCTTCGGCATCGCACGAATCTCGTGCCACGAGACTAAAAGCCATCAGAGTACCTCTATGTCGTTAGAGTCGAGGAAGTGGAAGAAGCGGGACAGCAGTCTACTGGTTTCAGTTTCGAGTTCTGAGGACAAGTCACTGCCATGTTGCTTTCTTCAAGATGGCCCATGGCCCGTCTATCTTACCTTATATTATTGACGTTCCAGTAACCAAGTTGCAGGTTAGGATAGGCGCTGGTTTCCTCGTATCAGTACTTTTACCTGACTTCCTTTCGGAACATTCGACTGAAAACCATTAGTTTAGAAATGAGCTGCAGGTCGTCATTCACCGCGTCAGCCTGCGTCTTCAGTTGACCACCTTGACTCTGTCGATAGACGGAACTAGTCATTGTTGAAAGGACGTTCCGCACCAAGCTAACATATCTGATCGCAAAACCCGATAAATATACTGTCCTGCCCACTTGACACGCTATATTACCGCAGAAGACCTCATCATCGCGTAGCTGCCATCAGCCTAGCTAAGATCTGTAGCACCAACGTGATCCGTAAGTGCGCGTTGCAGAACCAGGTATACCGCGCAGGTGCACGGATGGTCTTTGGCTATTACCCTCCGGTTAAGGACGGTGAATAGGCGAAATAAAGCGGGTGGCATGTCTAAGCTCGTGGGGTCGATAACACCGACTCCCCAAATCAAAGTCAAAGCGACATAGCTAGCTGAATAATCTTTACTGCAGCAAAAGGCGCTTACAGGCGCCTCAGCGGGTTGCCAGCAGCTGTTCTAGCAAAATAAATGCCAGCAGTAGAGGTCGTTAGTCCCGGCGCGAAGAAAGTGCGTTCGCCTATACCTTGTCCTCCCACAACCAGTCAACGGATGGCGTAACGTCAAGTGGCGTCAAGCAATCTCCACGGGGCCGAGCACTGGGCGGCTCACGCGGCCGAAGGCGGCATGAGTAGGCGGCCGCGGCAGGAGCAAGCTGCCGCAGGCATGTCATAGTGTAGCTTGACTGATAATCGGGAATCTTGATGGACAGTGTCATGAGTAGGTAAATTTCACGAAGTGGAGGAAAGCAGGATATTGGTGGCACCTGCGTTCTCGAGGGTTCGCCGTTGTGAAGGGTGCTTACTGAAATTCCCACTTGCCGAAAATCGCACTTGTTAGTGCGTCGCGACGAACGTAAGGAAGCTAGGGACGGTATTAAAGGCTTGCGACCGTGTCAGGAAATCTTACGCCGCGACAGTTCTTACACAACGATCTGTAGCCCCTCCTAAGGGTTGGCCGCAACCACAGCATCGCTACAGCCTGTTGACACGGTATCCGCTTTCCAGACTTGAGTTAGAAGCTCGTGTAACCTGCAAGCCAATACTTTTGAATAACAACTAAATTTCCACCTAAAGGCAGCTCTCGCCAAACACTCTATTTTATTTGTCATCCTATCTCATCTTTAACATTCTCCGTAGAGTGTGGGTTTCAGTCACAGCTATACTCGAGTATCAAGGAGTTCTAAAGTATTACCAACTCAGACTCCAATTTTCCGAGTCTTTTGCTGTCGACGTCTACTTTTCTCCTCTGTAGGCTGTGAACAAAGACCTCCAGACTGTTCGCGAGACCTTTCAGATATCTAATTCCAGCCTTGACAGCAGGAATGCCGAATTAGAGGCTCTTTTATCTGCAGAGACCAAGCGCCGCGTGGTAAGTCCATCACATTTGCACACGCATGCACATGCACTAAGTGATGAACATTCGCCCGTTTTTATCTGAGTCCTCATGCCTCCGCTACATCAGTAGACTTCATTGTTTTTAGGAGGCGGAGGAAGCCCTGGCTATGGAAAAATCGCATCGTGTTTCGGAAGAGGCTGAACTGAACTCTCTGCGATCTCTAAGCGCCGAGAAACAGCAATCCTTGGAGGAGCACCGAAAGCAAAACGAATCACTTATCAATCTCAACAGAGAGTTCCGCAATCGTGTTAACGTAAGAGTGCGATTTTCGCCGTGCAACTTGGGTGGCGATACTATAAGTATACTCTTGCTTTTATATGCATATACATATACAGTAGATGTGCTGACTCATGCAATGTCAACCAAAATTTCGAAATGCGTTCTCGTTTCGAAAAGATAAATTAAGTAGTGTTGTAAAACTAATCATGATGCAGCATAATTCTATAATGATACAGTTACCTCAGGGTGTCGGCTTTCGAAAGAGCTTATTTTCGACTGCATGCAAGATCTATACTCTGCAAATATGACCACTTAAGTAGCATGCAATTTTCTCATTGATTTTCGATGCCCTTGAAAATTCAATTATATTTCATGGAAAACATGCATAAAAATATTCATTCTTTTACTCATTCGGTAGAAAATCACGCCTTCTTCCAATTTCATACTCGTATAATTTGGTTTTAAAAAACTTTTCTAAGTCCCAAAGAATTTTGAACCCGACCTGCTGTTAAACTTGCATTCAGGGTTTCACAACTACAAGCTGCATATTTTCCGTGTACGAAAAACCATGCATTTCTCTACGGTGTTAAGAAGAGACCATTGAGGTTCATAAAATGAAGCAGTGGATTTGAGCAATATTGTTAACTTTACAAGCCACATTCGTAAATGCAGATACATGACGTTTCATGAACGGCCATTTAACGGTATTAAAAAATCTCACAATTAGAAGCTGTTTTAAAACCAAATTATACTCTTCTTTTGAGTATGAAATTGGAAGAAGACGTGATTTTCTACCGAATAAGTAAAAGAATGAATATTTTTATGCATGCTTTCCATGAAATATAATGGAATTTTCAAGGGCATCGAAAATCAATGAGAAAAGTGCATGCTACTTAAGTGGTCATTTTTTGCAGACTATAGATCTTGCATGCAGTCGAAAATAAGCTCTTTCGAAAGCCGACACCCTGAGGTAACTGTATCATTATAGATTTATTCTGCATCATGATTAGTTTTACAACACTACTTAATTTATCTTTTCGAAACGAGAACGCATTTCGAAATTTTGGTTGACATTGCATGAGTCAGCACATCTACTGTACATATCAGAGGGGAGACGACAGAATCCGGGTTGTAGCTTGATACGGCACTGTTTCGGGATTGTTTGCCTTCATTCAACCAATCATAACCCTGACCACCAGCAGCTGGAACCGGAAACACAAACATGCGCACAGACGCACCTGGCGCAGCTGGTCCACCGCTGGGGTCTACCAGATGGGTCATAAGCAATTCATCGAAGCGAAGTTCATCAGTGTCTCGCCACCTGTCATTCTCTGTCGCTGTATCAAGCTACCCGCATTCTCTGTCGTCCCTCCTCGCTGCTCATATGACATGGCCGACTTCGGCCTGGTAATCAGTTGTCTTTTCGTGGCCTTTGCCTCCCATACGGAGTTTGTTTGCTTCGTGAAGCCAATAGATCGCTGTGCGCCTATTGCCAATTCAATAAATACCCGATCTGCAGCGACAGAAAATGACAGGTGGCGAGGCACTGATGAACTTCGGTTGCATGAAGTGCTTATGGTCCATCTGGTCACCCTTTCCCAACAATTACTAGCAAGAAACAGGCCGTTTTAATCCAACTCTAGGGCCGTGGCTTCTAACCCCGCGATCTGCTTATCTTTCATTGTAGGCCATAATATTTACGGGTTTTCCCTGTTCACGCTCGAACAACTCTCTGAAGTGCAGAAACTTTCTTTTCTCCTACTAGATCCTTACTGAGGAACTGGAAAAATCTCAAAAGACGGTTCTTCAGCTGCAACAGAAAGTTGACGGCATGAGTACAGTTCTTGCAGTGATGGAAGAAAGGTGATGCTGTTTAAAGTCACTC